CAGTTTTGGACGTAAGCGTCTTCCTGGGGCATAGCTCCCTGTTTGCTGGTCTTAGAGAAAGATTTAAGGAGGCAGAAGAGACATGGTTTACCATGTAAAGTGATCTGACTGCACTATCCTTTTGCAACCACCCATTTTATATCGATCAAATCACAACTAACTCAATTCCATTAAATATTTTTTCAGAGTTTGTGGCTGTCACTGCCTAAGGCAGCACTTGTTGTTCAACCCTATTTCAGAAGGTGTTGATGAGCTACCTCCAAACCCACTGCAGTCTGTGGTGTGTGGACAATCACTGCTATTAGGAAGTGAGTTCCAGGATTTTGACCCAGTAATAGTGAAGAAATGACAATATAGCTCATGTAATAAGTCACGATGATGCATGACTTGGAGGGAAACTTGCAAGTGTTTGTATTTCCGTATATCTGCTTCACATGTCCTTCCAAATAGAGATTACAGGTTTGGAAGATCCTGTTAAAAGAACCTATTATCGTCCTTTAGTTATTGTGTATTTGCAGAAAACTTTTGGATTCCCTTTTATATTAGCCACCAGTTTCTTTTCGTGCTCTATACATTTCTTATTAATTCTTTCAATTCTGTTCTGTATTTGGTACTCAATTGTGTTATTCAATTGTATTATATTTGTCATAAGTACACTTTTTTCTGCTTCATCTTCATCTCTATTTCTTTCATCATCCAGGAAGCTCTGGATTTATTTGTCATACCACTTCCCTTTGTGGGTATTGGCTGTACTTGACCTATCTCTTATTTGAATGCAGCCCATTGTTCAAGTACAGTTTTATCTGAAAATGATCAATTCCAGCTTATCTGGGTTAGATCCATACTTACCTCATTGAAGTTGATTTCCTCTGTTAATTATTTTTACTTTAGACATCTGTTTGTTCTTCTCTATAGCCAACTTAAATCTTGTGATACATTAATCACTGTTCTGTAAATGTTTTCCTGTTACCTTTTGATCTCATGACCAAGAACCAGGTTCAGCGAGCCTCCTTTGTTGATGGACGAGAGGCGTACTGCTGTAGATAGTTCCCCTGAATACACACTAAGAATTCTTGCCCTTCTCTGCCGATAATACAAATACTATATGAATCTATATTTGGATGAATTAACTCACCCCAATGACAACTACTACCCAATTCTTGCAGTAGTTTGTGTGCTTTATTTTGCATCCCTTTTCATTTTCTACTAAGGATTTTGACATTTTCATTTACTTCTGTTTTCATTTCAATTTTACATATGTGCGATTTCCAATGAGAAAATCTCTTGTCCTTTCAAATAATGGAGTTGCGACAAAACAGGATGCCAGCAAATGAGGTTACACTTATGTATTTTCCAAACTCACCCATATCAAAAGAAATTGAATGAATGGATTTGTTTGAGAGACTGTGCTTCCAGAGGCTGCAGTTGAGGCTGTTGTGGTACAGTGGTAATGACCCTACTTTTGAACAAAGAGACCCAGGTTCAAGTCCTACCTGTTCCAGAGGAGTGTCATAACATTTCCTAACAGATTGATAACAAGTATCCAGAAGCTGCAATTCCTGATAAGGCTGTCCTCTCAATATGACAAATGTTCCAACATGACCTACATATAGACAACCTCCAGTAATATTCCATAATTTTCCAATCTTGAGCATTTTCTGGGGAGTCATAAGGGCCATCTAGCAGAAAGTCAGAAGGACTACTGCAGATACATAAAGCAGATAATTGATATGATTTTTACAAATCCGTCACTATCCATTGTATGACTAGCCAGAAACTGCAATAAAGTGCTTTTCACTTTCTGCAAATAACAGAATTGCTTCTGACCTCAAAACATACTTGATGCCACCATGTGGGTTGTTGAGCTACCAGTGCAGTTCAGGTATATTGATAAATTGCTAGGAGTGCCACGTGATTAGTGTGCAGCTTGTTTGTGGTCATCGCAATACAATTCAATTCAGGGGAACGCTCCAGGCAGCATAAATTATGCATTTTCTTATGGCAATTCACTGTATTTCCATACAGATGGAACAAAAGCATCAGTTTCTAGGCAGGTAAAAGTTCCCACTGAAATCTTGACCTCTGACATTTTCAAATAGTTCCTAACAGTGACAGTTGGCCAGTGTAAGGGAGTATATGCCCCAATCACAATTAATGCCTATAAGCATGCAAAACAACATTTGATTCCAATTTGAGCTCCAACATTGTTTGGCAAAACATAGGAACATAATTCAGAACAATAAAAGACCAGTAGGCCCTTCAGGCCTGCTCTGTCATTCAATAAAATCAGGGCTGATCAGATATGATCTGTACTTTCCTCAACACCACCACCCCAAACACGCACACACGCACACAGAGAAACATATTTGAGTTACAGAGAGCAATGAATGATTGCATGGCTCCAATGCTGCCATGCTGTTGGAGAAATGCATTCTTGTGAGGCACTGCTACCACTACTGGAGAAGGTAAGGAGGGGTTACCATAGACCAGAAGCTCAACTGCACATGCCATATAAATACAGTGACTACAAGAGCAGATCAGAAGCTAGTAATGCTGCAGCAAGAAACACACCTTCTGACTCCCCAAACGTGTCCACTAACTACAAGGCACAAGTCAGGAGCATGATGGAATACACTCCACTTGTCTGGTTGGGTGCAGCTTCAACAGCACTCAAAGGTTGAAACCATCCAAGTCATAGCAGGAAGGCTGACGTTTCGGGCCTAGACCCGTCATCAGAAATGGGGGAGGGGAAGCGGGTTCTGAAATAAATAGGGGGGGGGGGGGGGCGGATAGAGGAGAAGATAGGTGGCGAGGAAACAGACAGATCAAAGGGGCTGGGATGGAGCCAGTAAAGGTGAGTGTAGGTGGCGAGGTAGGGAGGACGGACAGGTCAAGGGGGCGGGATGAGGTTAGTAGGTAGGAGATAGGGGTGCGGCTTGAGGTGGGAGGAGGGGATAGGTGGGAGGAAGAACAGGTTAGGGAATCAAAATCTTCCCTCCCCCTACCACATCCCAAAACCAGCCCAGCTCATCCCCACCTCCCTAACCTGTTCTTCCTCCCACCTATCCCCTCCTCCCACCTCAAGCCGCACCCCCATCTCCTACCTACTAACCTCATCCCGCCCCCTTGACCTGTCCGTCCTCCCTGGACTGACCTATCTCCTCCTACCTCGCCACCTACACTCACCTTTACTGGCTCCATCCCAGCCCCTTTGACCTGTCTGTTTCCTCTCCACCTATTTTCTCCTCTATCCATCTTCTATCCGCCTCCCCCTCTCTCCCTATTTATTTCAGAACCCCCTTCCCCTCCCCCATTTCTGATGAAGGGTCTAGGCCCGAAACGTCAGCCTTCCTGCTCCTATGATGCTGCTTGGCCTGCTGTGGTCATCCAGCTCTGCACCTTGTTGTCTCAGATTCTCCAGCATCTGCAGTTCCTACTATCTCCAAGTCAAAGCAGGTTGCTTGATTGGCACTGCATCCAAAAGCATCTACTTCCAACCATCAACACTCGGAAGCAACAGAATGCATACTCCTACAAGAGAAAGTATCCTCTCAGAATCCACTCTGTCAAGTCCACCTGGGCTCTTGCATCTTTCAATAAGAGTGCCTGTTGGCCTCCCATGTTTCAATGGGTAAAGACCAAACCTGTTCAATCTGTCAGCATTAGATAAGCCCTTTGTGCCAGGAATAAGTTGTTATTTTGTAATGTTTAGTTCCCTTTAATAGTGTAATAGCTCTCTTTAGCTGTTACCTCCTCAGAAAAACTTTAATAAATGAGTAAAACACAGTTTCCCTTTCACAAAGTCCTGTTGACTCTGATCGCATTATGATTTTCTAACTATTCTGCTATAACTTTAATAATGGATTCTAGCAATTTCTTTATGACCTGATGTTAGGCTAACTTGCCGATAGTATCTAGCATCAACTATATTTAATGAGGTTCAAGTGACATGGAGCAATGGAAAGACAAGGACAGTCAATGACAATTAGAAAATAGCATCATGAAATTGCTTGCAGGCTACTAGATCTTTGATGCTACCTTTGAAGTATTCAGTCTGTCCAAATCATGAGTACTTTTTTTTTTGGTTGAATTCAACTTTATTTACATTACCAATTCCTACATTTCAAATGCCGGATATTGTTTTTTCTGAATGCTGAAACATTATCTGACAGTACCACAATGTACCAAAACAATCTGGTTATCAAAGGAGGATATTGGAGCAAATAACATGTGCATGTTTGGTGGGCAATGAATAGTTTGCGGTATTCTGATTGGTCAAAAATGGCCAATTCCTTCATTTTATAAAATATTTTGTTTTTCCATGTATTTTTGAGAGAATAGTTTGATGTGCTTCGTAACTCATCCTTTAAATAAATACACAATGTTGGACTAAAAATGATTTCCTTTTGGAGATTGCAGGCCGCTGTCTGGATCTTTGTTTATCCAGTGACCTGAAAGCTTTGTCTGTTATCACAGAAGTTCAACTGTCCAAGGAACCAGAACCAATTATCAGCTATTTTCAGGTAGAATTTTCTAACCTTTGCTCAGAAATGTGTGTAATGTCTAAGATAATGGATTTAAACTTGTACGATTCATCATGAAAGATCTCTTTATAACCAGTACTTTATTTATGCAAAATAAAATTCCTTCTGAACTCGCAATAAGGAGCCATTAAAGTTGATTAGGATTTCATATTCAGTATGCTACTAGAATTTTTATCAAACTATAAATTTGATTGGACATTAATTACAGCATTGTGTAAGTTCAAGGAATTAAGAGAGGATGTTGACTTTCTAACCTGTGATCTTCTAATTTGTTTACATAGTTAGATACCACTTTGCTATCAGATTGTTTGCCTGAGGTAACTCGCATGGCCCGGAAGTTTACTCATATTTCAACACTGCTCCAGGTAACATAGTTACAAATGTACACTAGTTGGGATCATCATCTTGGAGATTAATTATTGAGAGCATTGAATTTGTCTGACTGTCCATATGATTTTCTTTTTGTCCATTGCCTTGCACTGGAAAGTATTAATTGGCAACAGTTTGTCACATACATAAAGGATTTTACTTTGAACCAATCGTAACTCAATCAGAAAAATTGGGAGTAAAAGCAATGTTTTGTTTGTCTTCAACTACTAACTCACCTTGTGACTTATTTGAGCACAATCACCTTATGGACCAGGAAGTTCCCAATTCAGTCCTTGAGTCTGTTGCTGAAATTTCACTGCAATTGGCCTTGATGCTTCTGGCCTGAAGAAGAGGAAGAGTGAAAACGAATGATTCAGAATTACTGCTCCTCTGGTATTTCTGTAAAGCCGTGTATATGTATGGCCTATTGTAAAAGGTTTGATATTTGCAATGATAGATTCCCCTTGTTCAATAGTGTGTTTAGAAAACATAGAAAATTGGAGCAGGAGTAGGCTGTTCAGTCCTTCTAGTCTGTTATGCTATTCAAATTGGTCATGGCTGATCATCCAATTCAGCACACTGTTACTACATTCTCCCAATAGCCTTTAATCCCATTAGGCCAAAGAACTATGTCTAACTCCTTTTTGACAACATTCAATGTTATGGCCTCAACTGCTTTGTGTAGCAGAGAATTCCACCACTTTCTGGGTGACAAAATTTCTCTTTACCTCAGTCCTAAATGGCCTAACCCATATCCTTAAACTGTGACTCCTGGTTCTGGACTCCACAATCATTGTGAACATCCTTCTTGCATTTATCCTGTGTGGTCCCGTTAGAATTTTGTAGGCTTCCATGGGATCCTCCCTCAATCTTCTAAACTCCAATGAATATAGTCCTAAGCAATCTCTCTTTGTACATCAGTCCTGCGATTCTAGACATAAGGCTGGTAGATCTTTGTTGCTCTCCCTCCATAGCCAGAACATCCTTTATCAGATAAGGAAACCAAAACTGCACACAGTATTCCAGGCGTGGTCTCACCAAGGCCCTGTACAATTGCAGCAAGACATCACTGTTCCTGTACTCAAACTCTCTTGCTATGAAGGCTAAGATACCGTTTTTTTTTTCAGTGCCTACTGCACCTGTTTGCTTATTTTGAACAGCGGTGTACAATGACACCCAGGTCTTATTGCAACTCCCCATTTCCCAATCTGCTGTCATTCATATAATTACCGACGTCACGCTTCATGCATTAGATGACAAAGGGGCTCTTCAGTACATTCGAGAAACTGCTCATCTTGAGTAGTGGTATTACTGAAATGCTAGAATAGTGTCACACTTATAATAAGCTAAATCCTGAAAAAGGATTTTAAGTGCTTTCAAGACTTTCATTCATGTGATTGATTTTGGGCAACTGATTATTTTGTTGTTCAAGAAATAATTGATCTTAATAGGCTCTTTAATGGAGGTTGAGAGTTGAAACCAGATTCAAGTCTTTACCTTGGTGAAATGTAGGCTACAGGATAATCTGTAATTTCAACACAGATTTAGAAATAAGACAATATACTTATGAGTACAACACTGAATTAGTAATAAGGCAATATAGTTAAGAATACACATCTCAGTTTTCCTTTGCTATAAGTTTGCCAGTATCATCTTTGTCGTATGCATGTGGGAGTTTCTAGTTTGATAATCGAAGCTGTATTAAGAAAAATATGGAATTTGACCCCTGGACTACAATATAATACCAGAGAATTTATAAGTTACTAGGTTGGATAGTTTAATAATTAATAAATTGTTAATTAAAAAAAACCATTAACCTTGGTTGTCTTCACTTTTTTTCTAAACTTCCTTGTTCTTTTTTAAATTGATAGTACCAAAAGCTGTCTTTGGCCTGCATGTGTGAAGCATGGGAAGACATTTTGATGCAAATGGACTTAAGACTGACAAAGTTTGTGCAGGTCAGCTGTGACATACATAACTCTATTTTAGTCATGCAGTGTATTGTATTTTAAGGTTTTGGAGTAGATCTGTAGCTCGGGTTGTGGGTGTTGAGGTTGGTTGGCTCGCCGAGCTGGTTTGTTGTTCCGCAGACGTTTCGTTACCGTGCTTGGTAACATCCTCAGTGCAGCCTCTGATGAAGCGTCGGTGTGTTTTCCCGCCTGGTTTTTAAACTCCGGGGTCCGTTGCGATGGATTGCCTCACTTCCGGGTTTCCTCCGTAGTGGAATGTATATGGGGTCGAGTTCAGTGTTTATTAATAATTCGACCCCATATACATTCCACTACGGAGGAAACCCGGAAGTGAGGCAATCCATCGCAACGGACCCCGGAGTTTAAAAACCAGGCGAGAAAACACACCGACGCTTCATCAGAGGCTGCACTGAGGATGTTACCAAGCACGGTAACGAAACGTCTGCGGAACAACAAACCAGCTCGGCGAGCCAACCAACCTCAACAGTATTGTATTTTGTTTCATACATGTTCTATAGTTCCCACAGTGTTCTTCAAGAGCTTTCAGATTTAAAAGGCATAAATTAACTCTATGACTAGCATTGCATGTTTCTGTCATGCCTATTTTTTCCAGGTATGCAGAATAACTTCAATGATTTTGGGCTAACAGTTTATATTTCAGTTGTATAGGCATTATTTGAGATGATTATTTGAGATTTTTTTTACGGGGAGGCAGTGGTCTGGTGGTATTATCACTAGACTATTAATCCAGAGATAACGTTCTGAAGGCCCAGGTTCGAATCGCCCTGCAGCAGATGGTGGAATTTGAATTCAATAAAAAAATCTGGAAATAAGAGTCTAAGGATGACCATGAATCCATTCAACAGCAGTTGTTGGAAAAGCCTCTCTGGTTCACAATTTCCTTTAGGGAAGGAAATCTGCCATCCTTACCTGGTCTGTCCTGCTCCAAACTCTCAGCAACGTGGTTGACTCTCACCTACCCTCTGAGTATTAAAGAGTGGCAATAAATTCTGGCCCAGCCAGCGATGCTCTTGTCCTGTAAATGATTAAAAACCAAATTTGATGCTGAGGGAATCCCTCTATGTCCTCTGCTGTAGATAAGGGCAAAGTATTTCCAAGGAACATAATTTAATCAATGACTATTGACTATTCAATTAATATCAATTGTGAAATAACATTTAATGGCTGAGCTTCTCATTATAACAATACGACTGTCCAGTATACTCAATTTTAGTTAATACTTAGTTTAGTAGATGATAATTTTGAACCTATACAGTTCCTGATGTTGAAACAGAACGCATCATTTTGCCGACTATATCTGGCATTCATGCGCTACATGTATCTAACCCATTTGAACTGAGTATTTTGCTTATTCTGTTAAAACTAAACCTTGAGAAGCAAACCCTTGGAAATGCTTCTTAAAGGTATCGGAAAAGCGAGTGATTTACTGGAAACATGTCTGATCAATCTGTTACACACCATGATGACTGGATCCTTCCCTTCCTGCCTTCAGCAGATATCGTAACCCAGGAAAAACATCTGCTGAACACCTGCTCTTTGAAAAGTATAGTGTGCACTTCATTTTCTTGAACTATACCACCACTACATTTCTTTTCATTCCTTCCATTTGAATGGCTTCCTGTACAATGATGGCATGGTCAGTTAGCTTATTCATCCTGCTCACCTTGCTGCCATTCCAAACAAGCTGAAGGAATTCAGGCCTCTTGGACAATTATGTCATCTGATGCCCCTGCTCTCTGCCTCCTAGATTTCCTCACCTGCGTTATGTGCACCACACTTCCCTGTCCCTGAGCAGTGATCAAATGAAAAACCTGAGTTGAAGGGGTAAGAACCCCCTTCTGGTACAAAATATCCAGGTCATTTTACTTTTCCCTGAAGTGTCGCAATGTCCAGTACTTGGCCTCCAATTAATCACCCGGATTCAAAATCCTTGAGTTGCAAATACTTCCGGCAGATGTGCATCTCACGAGCATCCAGGAGACTATACGTTTTACGGTTGTGCCAATTCACCTGTACTGCCATCCTTAATGTGTTGTAATTCATGATTTTATTATTTGAGTTCTTTCTTTTCCTTTCTTTCTATTTTAATTGCCTTCCACCTGTTTCTGTATGAGTCATACGGCATGGTAACAGGCCCTTCGGCCCATCATGTCCGTGCCAATCGATAAACACCAAACCACACTAGTTTCATTTGCTTGCACTTGCTCCACAGCCCATCAATGCCTTGGCATTTTAGTTGCTCATTCAAATACTTCTTAAATGTGTCTGACTACCTGCCTCCACCACCCTCTTCTGTTTAAATTTACTCAGTGTTCCAGCACCCATTGCACTCTGGGGTAATGAATTCCACAAATTCACAGCCCTTTGAGAGAAATAATTTCTCCTCATCGCTGTTTTAATCCTGCTATCTCTTGTCTTAAAACTATGACCTTTCATTGTAGATTGCCCCATGTGGAAACATCTTTTTTTAATATATCTACCTTATCAATCCCCTTTAGCATCTTATATACCCCAATTAGATCTCCTGTCATTCTTCTAAACTCCAGAAAATTTAGGCCTAAACTGCTCAAACTCGCTTCACAAGACAAAGCCATCTCTGGAATCAATCTAGCGAACCTCCTCTGAACTACCTTCAATAGAGCTAAATCCCTTCTCAAGTAAGAGGGCCAAAATTGTACACAATACTCCAGTGGCAGTCTCACTAATAGTTTATGTCAGACCATGCTTCACAATTCACTGGATGCAAGGTGCTATCAAATAATCTTGCCTTGTCAGATCCTGAAACCCTCCGATCTACTCCAGGCCAGTCCCTAACCTTGCAGGCACTGTACACAATACTGAGTCTAGTCACCCTGTTTCCCAGAATGTTGCACTGCTGTTTTATGGGAACAGTGTCCTGAAGTACTGATGTTGGAAACCCTTCCTGCATGCACCTTGTTCAGCAGTAAATTCATTTTGCTGTGTATCAAACATTTACTTGGTGCTGTACCTCTTCATGAATTGCTCGTAGATCCCATTTCATGCTTTCATATTGAGCTTCCTTTCAGCCTAACATTTCCCTGCTTTGTGAACCCTGCCCTCAGTTTTGGCAAAATGATGGCTATTTCAAATGTCTTTTGGATTTTTTTTCTAATCATTACTGTAGTAATTTAAAAGCCTTTTTTAAAATTTACTTTGTACAACCTTTTGTATTTGAACTGCTGGCTAAAATTTCCACAGTCCCCTCTTTTCCCTTTTTCATTGTTAATGAATTTTGACTAGAATTTGGAGAGAGCAATGGAAATGACATAGTTTAATTTCACTATGTAATAGTCTATGGTGCTGACAAAATCTCTGGTGATTGAATATATATCACAGAATCCTAAATGTTATTTCTTTGGTTTTAGGAAAAGAGCACAAAGACTTCCGTGCAGGAAGAGTTCATGGAACTACTGATGTGGGGTAAAGCTAGGTAGGTCTGTCCAGGAATATGTTAATAAAATCTGTATATAATTGTATGTGAGTGTTCCTTATGTTTTGGTCTTGAGCTTTACGTGTATTAAGTATAATATAAAAGTGTATCACAGGTAGTGTTAGTCTTTGGTTATTACTAGGCAGTGAAATGGAATCAATAGTTAGGGAACAGAATTTGTTTGCGATGGAGTGGCTACCGAAAACGATGGTTTCTCTCTTCCTAATATTTAATTGAGAGAAATTTCTGCATGGATGTTGGATAAGTTGATAACAGTGGAGAACTGCGTGTAGTCAGACTTGGATGTGAAAGCCAAGCTTGTGCTTGTGGATATGTCGCCATTGGGCAATAGGAAAGGTCCAAACTTAGATATTTGGATGACACCAGCAGTGATTGAATAGCAAGTGAAGCCATTGCAAATGAATCCTTAGCTATGATCAGATAAGTAAGAACGGAACCAGGTTAGTCGAAACCCACTAGCGACAGTGGAGTGATGTTAGGGGACACTGACATGGTTGACCTTACCATATCAGAGGCTGCATACGTTAAAAAGGATAAGAAAGGATAATTCACCTTTGTCACAGCTATGTCGGATGTCATTTGTAACTTGGAGAGTTATTTCGGTAGTGTGGCAGGGGCAGAAACCCATTTAGGCATGGTGTTCCAGGAAACATCAGACAAGAGTTTTGGAAATGACAACATGTTCAAGTACTTTGGCAAGAAAAGGGAGGGTGAGAGTGGGTCCATGATTTTCAAGGCAGCAAGTTCAGTTTTTTCTGAGGAAAAGAATAATGATAAACTTAAAGTAGAAAGCAGCAACAGAAGGAGAATTAGTACCAATACCAGCTAACAAGGGAACGAGGCAGGGAAATCTGTTGATCAATAGTGGAAGTTAATGTTGAGGGTTCATGGACAAATGAGCTCACAAGGCATGAGTGGCAAGAAGTTAAAAATGGAGAACAGTGCAAATTCAGGGCCATGGTTGGGGATGCCTTAAATGAAGATGGCTAGCGGAGGGGAGAGAATGGCATGACCTAATTGTATGATCTTGATCTTAGTGATAAAGACGCCCATGAGCCCCTATCACATTCTTGTAGATGGAAGTAGAGAGTTTGGATGGTCACTGCTTTACGTGGGCAGATCTGGCAATGGATGGTTAAACAGTTCACGTATCCTTACAAGTTTGGGTCTCTTATACTCAAGAGCACGGAGGTGAATCTGTACCAGGGGAACAGGAAGGGTGAGAAGGCTTTATTGGGAAATGGGGATGAAAGTTTCTTGAGATACTTGAGTGAAAGTGAATTCACTAAAACAAAAGCTGCAGAATTTTAGCAAACAGTGGAAGAAGGGCTAGACAATTGAACTCTTGAAAGTGCATTTGTAAGCAAATGCATAGCTAGTTTCTTTTAGTGGATACAAAAGGAAGAGTTTGGTTTGGGACATGGAAGAAGGATATGAGTTCAGAGTGAAGCGAGCCAGTGAAGAGTGATTGAGTTGTTTCATTGATTCCTTTATGGGCTATGGCTGTCACTGAATGGGCCAACATCTGTTGCCATTCCTAGTTGCCCCCGAGAAGGATGGTGGTGGTGAGCTGCCTTCAAAAACCGCTGCAGTCTTTTTTTGTGTAGGTACACCACAAGACCATTAGGAAGGGAGTTCCAAGATTTTAATGCAGTGAAACTAAGAATGGATTTATATTCCCATGTAAAAATGGTGAGTATCTTCAAGGTTATGGTGTTCCCATCTACCTGTTGTCCCAACCTCCTAGAAGGTGGTGGTCATGAGTTTGGAAGGTGCTGTCTCAGGAACCTCTGTGAGTTGTTGCAGTGCACCTTGTAGATGGTACAAACTGCCAATATGTCAGTGGTGGAGGGAGTGAATGTTTATAGATGTTTGAAACAAGTGGGCTGTTTTGTTCTGGCTGGAGTCAAGCTTTTTATGTGTGTCGGAACTTCAAACATCTAGGCAAGACCACATGAGTAGGAGGGGAGAGTTGACCATGAATAATGATGAGTGAGTTTACATGGAGGCGAAATTTAGGAAACATAAGAGGTCAGTGAACTTGGAGGAGAGACAGTATGACTGGTTGAGGTGAACATCTCAATGAGAAAAGTTTTATTGTACACGGGCGTGTGGACAGAAGAGAAAGAGGATTTTCGATGAGCAGCGAACCAACATCTCTAACCATTGATTTTAAAAGTAGCTGGGGTGGAGAGAGATTTTTGGTATCAGCTGTTATATGTTGTATAAAAATGGACAATTAATCAAACTTTTTTATTTTCTGGCTGTGACTTATACATTTTTTTTTTGTTTTGTAGTCCGGAGTTGCAGTCTTTGTTAATGAACCAGCTAACAGTTAAGGTGAGTGTATTAAAAAATAGAAATAAAGAATGTGAAGAAATTTTCTTTGTAGACTTTACTAATGATTTTGAGCCCATCAACATAAATGTCTGTCGTATGGATTTCACATTTTCTCCCTAACTTAATGCTAGACTTTTGTGATATGTACAACTGGTTACTTTTATGCTTAAGCAGATCTTTTACTTTGAATCCAACAGGGCTTAAAGAAACTCGGACAGTCCATAGAATCATCTTATTCTAGTATTCAGAAACTGGTTATAAGTCACTTACAAAGGTAGAGTGTCGTTCTGTTTGAATTGTGGAAATGTATTTTGTTGTTTATTTGGCCAAGGTAAATTTCCGAGCCTTTCATCAGGTAATAACTGCAACATATAATTTGTTTCCATGGTATTGCAATTCAGAGATATTTTTGAACAAATGTTTTGAATGCCCCCTGTAAAATGTAGCAAACTTAAATGTAAACTGTAGGTTTACCAATGGAATGATATCTTGACGATTTTTTAAAATTGAATGGAATGCAGCAGTGAGCAGTTATCTTTTGTAATCAATTATGGACTATTATCATTCTGAAGTGATTTCCGCTTTGCCGCATCACTGCACTTGCGTGTCAGGATTTTTGAATTGTTCTTACCTGGGGATCTTTCTTTTGGGACTGCAATATCATCTATCATGGAGATGTACTCCTGATTCTCAAATTTTCACGTAGAAATAGGTTTTCCAGGATCTACAATGGAAGTTTTCAAATGGCTAAACAAAATCAAAAATGGTAAATTTGAAATCTGAATTGTTCCATGTAAATCAGATGTCAAAAACCTAAACAGAATGAAACAAACTGGAGTAAGCTTCTTGCTACATAAGAACATAAGAACTAGGAGCAGGAGTAGGCCGTCTGGCCCTTCGAGCCTGCTCCGCCATTCAATAAGATCATGGCTGATCCTTTCGTGGACTCTGATCTACTTACCCGCGTTCTCACCGTATCCCTTAATTCCTTTATTGTTCAAAAAAAATCTACTTTTTTTTAAAAAAGCGTTTACTGAAGTAGCGTCAACTACTTCACTGGGCAAGGAATTCCACAGATTAACAACCCTCTGGGTGAAGAAATTCCTCCTCAGTTCAGTCCTAAATCTGCTCCCTCTAATCTTGAGGCTGTGCCCTCTTGTCCTAGCATCACCTGCCAGTGGAAACATCCTCTCTACTTCTACCTTATCTATTCCCTTCATAATTTTATATGTTTCTCTAAGATCCCTCCTCAATCTTCTGAATTCCAATGAATACAATCCCAATCTACTCAGTCTCTCCTCATAAGCCAACCCCCTCAACTCCGGAATCAACCTAGTGAACCTCCTTTGCACCCCCTCCAGTGCCAGTACATCCTTTCTCAAGTAAGGAGACCAAAACTGCACACAGTACTCCAGGTGTGGCCTCACCAGCACCTTGTACAGCTGCAACATAACCTCTCTGCTTTTTATTTCAATCCCTTTAGCAATGAAGGACAAAATTCCATTTGCCTTCCTAATTACTTGTTGTACCTGCAGACCTACCTTCTGTGATTCATGCACAAGGACACCCAGGTCCCTCTGCATAGCAGCATGCTGCAACTTTTTACCATTCAAGGAATAATCCTTTTTACTATTACTCCTACCAAAATGTATGACTTCACATTCACATATTTCCCTCCATATTTGCTATTTACTTGGTGCCTGACAATGCCAAAGACTGTACCTATAACTACCAACTTGCCTTACATAGTTTATACTGTTGCAATGAATACAGCAGGAAAATTAATTCTAGGAAATTGGTATGTGAAAAAAATCAGACATCCAGAAGGAAAGAATTCAAATTCTGAGATTTCGGTAGCAGTGCAGAAGGTTCCACCTCGTAGTTTTAATAGCTAATCATTAAACTGAAGAGAGCTACTTGTCAAGTTTCCATGACCCTGCCAGGAGGAACCTATTAAACCCAAGTGAAAACAGTATTCTTTTATGCAGTCAACTTAGATTGTAGAGTTTTTTATTTAATTCCATGTGCAGTAGGATAAATTTTTCATTCACATAGTCAATAAACATAAAGCTGGCATAACAATTTGAATAAACAAGCTGGATTAATTATGAATCGGGAACATATATGTTTGGGGAATTTTGGTTAGAGCTATATATGTTCCAATTAATTTTACCTGTAATAGCCATTCACTGAATGATGTATGTGCCTACATAATGAGTTTGATTACTTCCTTGCATATAGAATTTTATAGTGGTAGGAATTGCTGAGTTTTCAAATGAAAATGTGAACCCATTACCGGTCCAGCTTTTAAATTAGATCTATACATCTGAGGCTATGTAAAGTGTAGGAAATAACATTGTTGAGTTGCAACTGGAAATAACATGATAATGGACACCCTGGATACTAAACGTCTCTGGATACAAGGTGTTCAGGAAGGAAAGAAGGAAGATGGCAGTATTGATTAAGGAGGATATTACAGTGTAGAAGAGAGAATGTCCTGGAGAGCCAAGGATGGAATCTGAAATAAAAACAAACTGCTGGAAACACGCAGCAGGTTTGGCAGTACCTGTCGAGAATGAAATAGAAATAACGTTTCAAGTGCAATATGACTTCTTCAGAATCTATCTGGATAAAGCTAAAGTCCAAGAGGACCCTGCTACAATCTTATGAGGAATGGATAAGAGTTACCAACCAATAAATAAGGATGCGTAAACAAGAAAGCCCAAAGAAGAGGTAAAAAATAAAGTCACCAGACTCTAAGCCTAAATATCAGTTGTCTGACCCGGAGAAGCGGTGAAGTTACTGGCCTGATGGTGTGAATTAGAATGCATGGATAGTCAAACAAAGTGAAAGGACAGTTAAATGAGAGCAAGTGGTAGTAGAATTTTGTCGTTGGAATATGAGAAGAAATGGTTTTATAGTAGTACTAGTCAAAGGAAATATGCACAACTTTTTGGCAGTGGACAGCATCAGTGACAGAATCAACAAAGCTGGAAACTGGGTTGCAATGTGGAATTAATTGTTACAGACCAAAGGCAAAAGAAGAAACCACATATTTCAAATAGATTGGTGGTGGCAGGTGACCTGAGTGAACATGTAGGATGAGAAAGAACAGGATGCAAGGTTTGAGAAGCAAATGAAAAGACCAAGATCCTGGAGTTTGCTGTGGCATACCAACTGCTGGTACATGTCCCATTTGGAAGTTGCTGTCAGAGGAGTCTTAATGAGTTATTGCAGCATCTGTAAATGGTACACAGTGGTGTGTTGGTGATGTAGGGAGTAAATGTAAATTGCTAATCAAACATGTTGTTTTATCCTGGATAGCTTCAAACTTCTTGAGTGGTTTTGGAGGTACACTTCTCATTCAAGTGAAGTATATTCAGTCACACTCCTGACTTATGCTTTATAGATAGTGGGCAAGCTTAGAGGAGAGAGGAAGTGAGTTACCCATTGCAGAATTCCAAACTGCACTTGTAGCCACAGTGTTTATATGGCTGGTCTATTTTAGTTTCTGTTCAAAGGTAACCACCAGGATGTTAATAGTGGAGGATTGGTAATGCTGTAAAATGTCATGGGGAAATGGTTGATTCGTCTCTTGTTTGAGCTCACCATAGCCTTGCCATTGTCCAGGTTTTGCTGCATATAATGTTACATATATGCTACTTTGGTATCTGACGTGCTTCGCATGGTGCTACATATTGTGCAATCTTCAGCAAACATCCTTACTTCTGTGGCCTTATGATGGAGGGAGGGTCATTGATGAAGCAGCTGAAGATGGTTGGCTAAGGACACAAGGCTTATGGAAGTGATGTCCTGAAGCTGAGATGATTGACCTCAGTAACTGCAACCATCATTTTTTTCTTTGTGCTAGGTATGACTGCAGCCGACAGAGTTTTTCCTCGGGTTGCTTTCGACTTCAGTTTTGATAGGCCTCCTTGACGCCACACTCAATTAAATTCTGCCTTGATGCAAAGGACAGTTACTTTCACCTCACTTCTGCAGTTCGCACTTTTGTCCATGTTTAGACTATGGTTCAAATGATGCTAGGAGACAAGTGGCCCAGTAGAATCCAAACTAACCATCAGTCAACAGGTTATTCATTTGTAAGTATGCTTGAAAACGCCATTGATGATCTCTTTCATCACTTAAATTGAGAATAGACTGATAGGGCTGTAATTGACTGAGATGTGTTTGTCTAGTTTTTTTTGTGCACAGGACATATGTGAGCAATTTTCCTCATTGGCAGGTAGGTGCCAGTGTTGTAGCTGTACTTGACCAACTTTGTGGCCAGTTCTGGAGCACAAGTCATTGGTATGATGCCATAATGTTACCTGGGGCTATAGTCTTTGCTGTATCCAATGCCTTCAGCTGTTTTTTTAATATCACATGGAATAATTCAAATTTATTGAAGATCTGCATCATTGATGGTGGGCACCTCAGGAGGTGGCTGAGATGATCATGTACTTCGCATTTCTGGCTGTAGATGGATTCAAATACTTCAACCTTGTCTTTTACGCTGATGTGCTGGGCCCCCTATCATTGAGATTGAGGATATTTTGGATCCTCTACTTCCTTTTGTTTAATTATGCATCCCTTGATGGCTCGATCTGGCAGGACTGCAAAGTTTAGATCTGATTCATTGGTTGTGGGGTTGCCTAGCCCTGTCAATTGCATGATGTTTTCACTGTTTAGTATGCAAGTAGTTCTGTATTGTATCTTCTTCAGGCTGACTCCTCATTTTTCAGTATTTCTGATGCTGCCCCTGGCATGCCCTCCTACACTCTTCATTGGATTGTGATATGAAAAGAAAGAAAATCCAAAGGGCGTAGGGGGAGTAACATTTTGGTGCTGATAATCAAAGAGAACGGAGTTATTCAAGATGGCAACAACTATGAGGAAGTTAACCAATTGCATACCTTCAAGATATGACAGAGAATCACAGACCAGAAACTTAGAAAAATAATGGAATTCCATGATGTCAGTTTGGATTCATGCCTAAGAGAAGCATCTCCATTTTGTTAAGGCGCAAGATGGGAAAATATCAGGTATGCCAATGGAACATGAAAATTGTATTCATCAGTCTGGAGAAAGCTTATATCCAGGTTCTCGGGGATTAAATTTGAAGATTTATTAGAATTTGTAGAATCCTGGAAAGTGCTTACAGCTTTTACAGGACATCTACAAAGCAGGCAGGAATAAGAAACAAAGTTTCAAAGCCAAGTTTGGATTATACCAAAGATCAGCACTGATCCCTTCCTTCTGCCTGATTATCGTGTATGTTATGCCACAGCAAGTGAGATAGGAAGTTACACGATTAATGATGTTTGCCGATAACATTGACTTACATGATGGGGATGATGAGACAATGGGTGAGTATGCGGAAACTTAGAGAAAATCCTGGAAACCAGGGATATGATGATCAGGAGACCAAAACATAATATATGGACTGTCATTTTAAATCTAGGGCAAAGGATCAGAGTGAAGATGTGAAGGTAATAGGTGATGACTTTGATAAATTGAGCAATTTCAAGTAGCTGGGGTTAGTGTTAACAGAAGATGGAAGTATGGAAATTAAGCAATGATTAGCTTTGTTTGGAGGAATGAGAACATGTGGAATGTTGTAGAAGAGTATCGTATAACTAAAAGGAAGCATCTTCAAGGTAATTGTGAAACAAATTTCACCAGCTTATAGTTGATTGGCACAAAATTAGAAAACAGTGATGCCATTTAACCTTCCATTTTGATATGTACTATATTGGCTGTAGGTGTAAGAGATGGCCAACTTCATCTGTTGCTCAAATATCTAAGCTTCCTTCCTCTTCCAAGATAATATAAGGTAGACAGGCCATCTTTCAGGATGAACAGTGGTGGCCACTGGGGTAGCCAGTAACACGCAGCGTAGTTTGATACCCCCGTCTCAGCATAAAACATACATGATGAGAAGACTGAAGCCATATTTCATATGCAATGTGAGGTATTTGCTCAAACTCTGACATATGATTAACTCAGAGATAGGAGGAACTGCAGATGCTGGAGAATCTGAGATAACAAGGTGTAGAGCTGGATGAACACAGCAGGCCAAGCAGCATCAGAGGAGCAGGAAAGCTTTTAGACATTTCGGGCCTAGACCCTTCTTCAGAAATGAGGGAGGGGAAGGGGATTCTGAAGTAAATAGGGAGAGAGGGGGAGGCGGACAGAAGATGGATAAAGGAGAAGATAGGTGGAGAGGAGACAGACAGGTCAAAGAGGCGGGGATGGAGCCAGTAAAGGTGAGTGTAGGTGGGGAGTTATGGAGGGGTAGGTCAGTCCAGGGAGGACGGACAGGTCAAGGGGGCAGGATGAGGCTAGTAGGTAGGAGATGGGGGTAAGGCTTGAGGTGGGAGGAGGGGATAGGTGGGACATCCAGCTCTACACCTTGTTATCTCATATATGATTAACTCAGTTGGCTGGACAGCAGGTTTGCGATGTATAGTGACGGCAACAGCGTGGGTTCAATTCCCACATAGCTGAGGTTATCATGAAGGACTCTCCTTCTCAACTGCTCCCCTTACGTAACATGTGGTAACTCCTCAGGTTAAACCACCACCATTTGTGTCTGAAACAAATACAAAAATGGCTGGAAAAGCTCAGCAGTTCTGACAGCATCCGTGAAGAGAAATCAGAGTTAATGTTTTGCGTCCAGAGACCCTTCCTCAGAACTGAGACCAGTTGTATGTGTGTGTCTCTCTCGCGCTTTCTCTAATGAGTGAACAACCCTATGGTCTGGTAAGATATTGGCAGCTTTACACATCTGAATATGTTTTAATCAAACTCATTAACTTAACAACTCATGCAATTGAGTTCCATTCCAATGACACTGTGCACCCAGACAAATGGTGTTAATATGCAATCTCTTCTTGACCAATTCTAGCTAATATCTTTGTCAGTTTGAATGAGAAGCATGTTTTTAATGGAAAAACCACTAACATACCCTTTCATGCCTGAGATACATAGATGATGCATTTGTGATATTTAGACTTGCAGCTGCATAAAATTATTTACTTACGTAGCTCAATAAACTCCATTCTGCACTCAAGTTTACATTCAAGTGCACTTAATTGAAATGGAGCAATCAAATTAGCTCCCTTTCTGCAATGTATTAGTTGGAAAGAAAGTCTGTCCATAAATTTTCTACTACTGTGTTGTGTTCACGTATTAGGTGTTGGGGTTCCTACAGTTTCATGTGCTACAAGACCAATAGTATTAGCAACCTCATGAGTAGGACCTAGCCACTTGTTAATACGTAAGCTTGATGCTGAGATAGGGCCCATCAATACGATTTTGCATGATAATGGCTACCTTAATCAAATCATTACTGGCTGTATGTTGTACAAACTTGTAAACAGCTTACAGCCATCACTTTTAGCTCCAAAAGTGTTTAGTCTACTTCAGATTACCCGAGAAGGGAAATGTGTCTCAAAAATTTGAGTAACAGTTGAAAATAGCTGTCTCACATTGCTACTTTGCACTTAACACACAAGTGGTTTTCGACACTAATAAGATGCTGCTATCAAGCCAGAGGGACATTTTCCCTACCTCGCAATTGTGGAATGTGGTGGATGAGCTTGTGTTGATGTGATGCCAAACATGTAGTGTACAAGTCTCACTGATTGGCATACTCTATAAAAATAACATGTCCTATTGACCGTCCACAGCAGGCGACGCACTGACCATACTGAACCAGCCCATGCTTGCAAACCTCAGAACATTTGTGTCCAACAGTAGATGTGATTCTGCTGTTGGACAGAATGTACTAAATTATCCTGGCTCTTCTAAAAATTACAATGGAAACCAATTCATAATTTTCACTTGGGCTGTCAGTGTAATTCGTTTGGACTTTGTGGAAGCTACGTGTATTCATAACATAGATCCTGTTTTTTGCAGGCAGAAGGAATTTATGTATACATTGACCTTTTTCATTGAGGAAAGGGTTGTAGAGACTGTCAATCCATGCTGCATTCTACATGGCCACACTATGATCAGACTCTGGCCTGAGTTTGCTCAACTAACTAAGAATGACAGTTAACAATTTTTGCTGTATCTCCATTGCAACCACATTCTAACCATTCAAAGCTTTTCTTATGCTGTATAAATTGGTGTTTTCTTTCTAAATTTGTTTTATTGCACCCAAGTCCTGATGAGTGCAAGACAAAAATCTTAAACTTAGTGTTTACGATCTGTGCTGCCAATGAATTAAATAGAAGTTCCTTCTTTCAAGGAGGCTTAAGTGTGGGGCACTGAATTTTTTGAAGTTCCATGTGAAATAGAAGTATAGAGCTGCAGGTGTGATTATTATAAAATGGTAACATCAAAATAATTTGTGTGACACAGTGAAGAGAAAAGGCTAAAATAAACCAAAGACTGCAGTGCTGGAGGTCTAAAATGCAAATAGAAATTGCTGGAGAAACTCACCAGGTCTGACAGCATCTGTGGAGAAAAAAACAGAGTTCACATTTAGAGTCCAGTGACCCTCCTTCAGAAAAAGGCTTTTGGAAATGCAACAATTCATTTTCATAGTAATTTAAATAAGTTTAAGAATGCAGAATTGAATTAATAATGCACAATTTTTTTTTACCTTATGAGCTGATTTTCTGGTGTTTTCTTTCCCTGTCGCTATTACACAGTGGCTCAGAGGCTCTCCTGTATCATCTAAATGAGTTAAAGGGAATGGCAATGTGGAAACAGAAATACCAACCTTTAGGGTTAAATGTGCCAGCCATAGAAGGTATATCTTAAACATTTTTAAGCCTTTAAGTGTTCAATACCTTTATAACATTACAAAGTATTTGGTTTTTTTAACGAATTTAGAAGAATGATGAAAATGGAAGAATTGTAAAATATGTAGGGATGTCGACTCCATATTAAACCAAAGTAAGAAAATGCTTGATGAGGATTAACCAAATGGGCAAAAAGGACCATGACTAATTTAGAATGCAAATGAACAAGGTTTAATGGACAATAAATATTGACACTTAACTTGGCTCAACAAATTACATGTTATAATATTTCCAAAGGATGTTGGTTTGCCTTTCCCAGAACTGCAGAGATCTTTTTCCTTGGTTCCTTAAACTTTGTCCCTGGATCCACAATGTCCTACAAGATTTTAGTTTAGCTTACTTGACTCTATCAATATTAAGATTTCGATTCCAGTGGATTTTTTTCCAACCTACCACAACTTAATCTACTTTAACTTCCAGACCACTTTAGCTGTTGAAGCTACACATTTCATAAGCTGCTTGAATACTGAATTCTTAGAGCAACCCTTCATCCTATAACACATTCCAAGGACTGGCAATGTCCTGTGCTAATACTAATTTCCTAACAAAGCCCCACTACTAACTCCCTCTCCTGACAAATGCCCCTCAAGTGCCCTGGGATAAATGCTAATACTTTGTAAGTGCAGCAATCTTTTGTGGTGCACCCCTCTTTTTAGGGATGTTATCTAATCAACTGTTCAGAGATGTTATTACCCATCCCTGGCACAGGTGGGACTTGAATGCAAGCCTCCTTGCCAAAAGATAGAGACACTACCATTGTGCCACAGTAACCCTCATCAGTCCTTTTTGTATATCCTTTTTTGAAGGTAGCTTTGCAACATTTAGCCCAAGTATGTGCACCAGTATCAATGCAACTAAATTTAACATATTTGCAACTTTTAATCAATGGGGTGAGCACTCCTAACTTCCCTACAATAATCAAATCTTAGTTGTATTTCTAACAGCATATTTAAGTCCTCCAACCATCTTTCTAGTCATTCAGATTTGCCTCTTGGTTTCTGTTTCCTGTTAAGCTACACTCACTGGAGGCCAATTATGCAAATATTCTTTCTTAAATCTTTTGTCATTTAAAGAGCTGGTAACTTGACTTTGTAGCAACATACCCCAAAATTCATGAATCATCCCAAAGTTACACCCATGCCAAGACTTATTGTCACTAAACTTAAGTACAGTATAATTTGATTATTTAAGCTTTATTAATTACACCAATATGCTAACAAGGTGGAGGCAAATCAGTCTTAATCCATAGTACCATTTTAATGATGTTTAACTTGTATGTAGAATTCTGTTTAAAGTATACATACTTATATTTTTAAATGCTTGTTGATGAAATACAAAGCATGAGCATTGGACTAATTCATTGAATTTTCTTTAAATGACTTTAAATCATGGACTCTGGAATTTTGTAAATTATAATAATGGCCTGCTTTTCAGTTTATTATTCACACCGCTGACTGGCTCTCTTGGTGTTGTTACCAATTCCTGCTTGACTTAAATTGTGATATTTATTATATACCATCAAATTACAGAATGCATTTTGCCTTATGAGACACAGTGGCAGTGTGCTCACAAGACTTTTCTAATGCTGTTCTGCTAACATAGGAATTATCATTTTGCCGTTACAGGAGCAAAAGCAAAGGTGAAAGGGGTCACATGCTGTTCAATTACAATCTTAATACAGTTCATTAGCACTTAGTGCACTTTAGGAATCAAAGCAATCTAACTCTGTCTAATTATATGACATATTGGAACAGCATCAAATCACCTGATGAATGAAACTTGCAATTTTATTTTTCAATATTTGATTTAAGTAAATTACTTCTTTTCTTTCAAAGATGCCATAAATGCTGTAGGAACATTTATACTGAAAGCAAATGAATTGTTACAGTAAGTACAAATGGAAGCAAGCTTTGAGTTAAGTTGCTTTTTTTGTGTGAAGAATCTGTTTTACCCATAACAAATAAAAAGTGTAATTGAGCAATAACTGAAACATTGAATGATGAATTTTATGAAAACAGGGAGTCTTAAATAAAATGAATACGAGTAATTGAAAGGCATAGTTTGTGATTTAACAAATTTTAATGTATGGCATACTAATGAATTACAATACAATAGGTTGAAGTACATTTCGATAAATACTTGTTTTCCTTGTCCCATCTCTATTGTAAATGAATAAGCCATTCTAAATAATGTGGAAATTTCATTTTTAAATACTTCCATATGTGAATAATATTTTAATGTTAAACATGGCACAGATTTTGTATTTAGCAGGAATGACAGCATCACCTTGATTTGATTTCATTTATTATTTGTCACACATACTTCAGTACGGTGAAAAGTTTTGTTTTGCGTGCAGTACAGGCAGATCATAAAATACATTGAAATACAGATGATAGGGTGGTTGAACAGAGCAAAGCATAGTAGATGTTAGAGAACATTGTTAGTCATTTTTACAGGCTTTGAATTGAGGTTTAAAAGTGTGGAATGATTATAAGAAATGTGAGATTAAGATCTGCTGTAGAGAGCTCACAGAGTCGACTTGTGTCAGTGCTATCTTGAATCCATTTATTTTCTTTACACTTGCACAAGTCCGCAAACTTTCTATATGTTTGTTCACTGAAATTTGAAGTTGTGAATCATTTCTTTGCAACACGTTCACAGACTCTAAGGAGCAAGGTACTGTGTATAATCCATAATCAATAAGATTGAAAAATTATTGCAGCAGGCAAGCAAAGTCTGAACTAGGAACTGTACGTCACAATAGCTAATTCAACCTAAATCATGTACTGCTAGTAAAATAAAGAGTGTGATTAACAGAGTGTGAAAAGACAGAGAAAGTAAAAATAAAACTTAAAAAAAAAATAAAAACTGAAGGAATGGAATGACATTTGAGAAAGTTTCTTCTATTAGTAGAAAGTCTGTTTGGAAGTCATTATGATTTGCCATACCATTGCAAAATTATTCAAATTAGAATGGTCAAACCCTAACTTTTTCTGGTAAGTTTATACATCTCTGTCATGTGAGTGTTCGGACTTCATGCCCTTCCGTGTGTTTCAATATTAAGTCTCTCACCAAGTGCTTATAACAGTGTTTATAAATGCTGAAAGCAGAATTGATAAACTCATATGTATGCACTTTTTGGGGGCCATTTATATGTTCCTCCTAGTGAATGTCCCAAATTATAATTCTTTTCCTCCCCTGTAAAGAGGAGGCTGTATTTAGCCCAGTTCCCTCCAATAAATTAAAGAAACTGCACTTAGGTGATTACTTGGTAAGTTTGGAACTTCCATAATGTGAATTCTTATATAAGGTAGATTGAAATTTCCTCCTCCAACAATTGCCTCCCCACACCCCCGTAATATTTCACTGAATGACTCTCCCTCACAGGAATGACTATTGTAAAATAAATCCAACATGTAATTCCTGTCCCCACTGCAAATCTCCCCACCTCTGCTCACTTTATCAAATGGTCAATCTTCAATTATAAAGAAGTGTAGGGAATTTGCCACACTCTCCTCTGAATCTGAGCCATCATTATTGTTGTCTCTACTGAGCAGTGCCACACCATATAAACCGAGAAAATATTGATGCCATCTTGAGTACAACCATTAATATTATTGGTTTTAACTGATAATCTTTTCTTTTTTAGAGTTATAGACAGTAGTATGAAAAGCTTCAAGGCATTTTTCCGATGGCTATATGCAGGTAATTAAAATTGCATTTACCATAAAATCTATATGTAATAGATTGTTCTATCGTATTGTAATTTTGAATGCTGCTATATTTGTAAGTCCTTGACTTAGATACAGCTAACAATATGGAATGAAGCATGCTAAGCAGAAGAGTCTAATTCAGCATTATTATCAGTTGTATGAATAAAACTAATCATTTACATGTTACCGTTATAGTTTGAAAGCAACTGTAGCATACACTGACAGAATTAATGTTACTTAATGCAGAATTGGAAATATGTCCACTTCACTCTGATAGACGTTGCATGAATCTGGACAGCAGTTGATAAAGAGATGGAAAAGACTGCAGATGCTGAAAGCTAGAGATTTTAAATGCCGAGCTGGAAAAGCACAACAGGTCAGACAGCATCCGAGGAGCAGGAAAGTCAACGTTTCGGGTCGGAACCCTTCTGAACAAGGGTTCCGACCTGAAACGTCAACTTTCCTGCTCCAGCAGTTGATAAATTTATTTTAAAGCCAATTTTATCAAATTCTGTTCTGTCTAGTTAAGTATCTACCAAACTATCAGTCACCATATGAAGAAACGTGAATCTGATAATTACTGACTAAAAAAATGATGACTATTTATGTGGGCTTCCAGAAAATGTTCAATAGAGTTGCACATAATAGACTATTAGAAAAAATGGAATCACATGGAATTTGAGGCATGATTTCGGAAATCCTTTTAAGTGTTAGGTAACTTTGATTAGGGATGAGGATATGCACTCTAATTGACGGGTTGTAACTAGTGGTATCCCCAAAGGATCTGAATTAGTGATTCAGCTTTTCGCTGTGTTTGGAAATAATTCGTGATGAGAAAGACAATAATTTGCTGACGACAAAATTGAATCATACAATAAGTAATGTAGGTGGAAACAGACAGTTGAAAAGAGATATTATTAGTGAGTGGACAGAACTGTCCCGGATGGAATTCAGAGAGGAACTGTGTGCAGTAATCTATTTTAAATCCAACGAAACAAAATCATACTGTTCTGTAAGTGGCATGGAGTTAGTAATGGTGGAGGATGTGCAGGAGTGATGTCAGTTGTGGTCCTTTGCATAATAAGAAGTGGAAATCCAAACACGTTCCTTTAAAAGCTGCTAATGCCTAGTTTAATTGGAAGTGTAAAATCTGAAATTGATAGATTTTTGATAAACTTGAGGCTTAAGGACAATAGCACCAAGTTGTGGAAATTTAGATTAAAATACCAATCACTCATGATCTAATTGAATGGCAGAACATGCTCACAGGACTGCGTAACCTATGTTCCTAAAAATGAATAAATATAGTCAGATAACTTCAGATCAATTCTGATCAACCTCAGAAAAATATTGCTCTTGTAATTTCTAAATTTATGATGTACATGGTCAAATTCTACTTACTAAAATTTAAGTGGAGACAACAGGAACAAGATCATATTAATTGTCCATCCCTAGTTGTCCTATGGGGCTGATGGTGATGGGACCTTTTGCAACACAGCAGCCATGCATGACCTGAACCATCTTCCTTTGTTGTCAGATGTTAGTCAAAAGACTGAAGTGTTTTCTGTTTGAAACCCATCTAATGTACATTTTGCTAGAAGTAATTAGTTTCATATTTGGTCCTGTGCTGTTTTGCATCAAGGACTGTCACACTGATCTCATATCTAGAATTCAGCCTTTAGAAATACTATACACTTTGTGCCTCAGACCCACTTTCTGAAAATGCGATTACAATTTGTCTATATTTTTTAAATTTCATTCAGGGACATGGGCTTCATTGCGTGGGCCAATATTTATTGCCCATCCCTAAATGTTCTTGAGAAGGCAGTGCTGAGCTAGCTTCTTGAACTGCTGCAGCCCATTTGATTTGGGAAAATTAACAATGCTGTTAGGGAGGGGGTTCCAGAATATTTACCCAGAGACACTGAAGGAACAGTGATATACTTACAATTCAGGGTGGTGAGCGGCTTGGAGAGGAACATGCTGTTGGCAATGTTGCCATGCCAATGCTGCCCTTGTCCTTCCAGATTGTCAGGGTCATGGTTTTGGAAGGTACTGTCTAAGGTATGTTTCTGCAGGGCATCTTGTAGATGGTACACATTGCTACTATTATGCTTCAGTGATGGAGGGAGTGGGTGTTTGTGGATGTGCTGTCAGTCAAGAGGACTGATTTATCCTGGATGGTGTCAAATTTCATGACTGTTGTTGGATTTATGCTCATCCAGGCGAGCGAAGAGTATTCCATCACAATCTTGACGAATGTTCTCTGGAAGCTGTGCAACCACACAGCCACTCTGAGGATCTGCACATGCTGATTGGCATGCTAACACTGTTCCCAGAATTGACTTCCAGTTTTGGGGACTCAGGGTCTGCATAAAAGAAAAACAAATTATAGGGAATGTAGGATAACAAGGCATAGAGCTGGATGAACACAGCAGGCCAAGCAGCAATCAGAGGAGAAGGGAAGCTGACATTTCGGGCCTAGCTTGTAGTTTCTGATTTGTTCCTTGTAGATGGTGGGCTGGACTTGGAGAATTAGGAGATGAGCAACCAAACGTTAATCTAATAGCACTGTGGATTATATTGCATGTCTGGCCAGGGTTAAAGTAACTTAAATGATAATTATTTTTAAAATGCCTTCTCTATGTAGCAACTTTAAAAAACTAAAATTTAATACAACAGCTTTAATTCAAGCAACAATTATTTTCAACTATTTAAGAGATGTTGTTATTACTCCAGTGAGAAATTTTTTTTTTCTTTATTCACTCATAGAATGCGAACATCCCTGACTGGCATTTATTGCCTGACCCTAACTGCCCTTGAAAAGGTGGTGGTGAGCTGCCTTCTTGAATCGCTGCCGTCCATGTGTTGTAGGCTGACCCACAATGCCTTTAGGAATGGCAGTTGCTGCAACTAAATAACTTACTAGGCCATTTCAGAGGGCAGTTGAGAGTCAGCTGTGGATGTAGAGTTAAATGTCGGCCAGATTAGGTGAGGGTAGCAGATCTCCTTTCCTGAAAGACATTAGTGAGCCAGGTCGGTTTTTCTGACAGTAGACAATGGTTTCATGATCATCAATAGATTGTTAATTCTGGATTTTTTTTTTCCTGTTGAATTCAGCTTCTATCATCTGCCATGGCAAGATTCAAACCCAAGTCCTGAGAACATTAGCTGAATTTCTGGATTCATAGTCTAATGATAATAACACCCAAACCCTTGCCTCCTCCTTTGTAGTCGTCTGTGAATTTCACATTTTTTATTTCACATTAATAGCTGGCACTTAAATCGAATGAAATCGACATTTCATTTAGCTAGGATTAAATAGAAGCTTGCTAAACTAATGTTTGACTCAAGTGACAGTATTTACAATATTATCTTTCATTAGTGTGTGGGCTGAAGATGGTTCGTTAATGAAAATTTATGTAACACTATGACAAATTCTCATGGTATAATCAGGCTTAATTTTTCTTTCAGCAATGTTGAGGATGTCTGATGATCATGTTTTGCCAGAGCTAAACAAGGTAAATTGCAGTAATGCATACAGTAATTCTTTCAGAGCTACAAAATAATATTGTTATTTTTAACAATCTAAAACAATTCACATTTGTATAGTTTACTTAATGTTGAAGAATCTTCATCATTGCTTCACAAGGAGTTGGAGCTGCAGAAGGAAAAATTCCACTTATGATGAAGGAGATTCCATGAAGAGTGACAAAAAAAAGTTAGCTGAAGAAATAAGTTTCAAGGAGGAGCAAGAGGTGAAGAAACAGAAGAATTAAGTGAAAGAAATCCAAAATATTGGCCTAGGCAGCTGGAGGTACAACTGCCTTTGGTAGATTGAAAGGGAGGGAGAGATGCACAAGAGGCTAGAGACGGATGAATAACTTAGAGATAGACTGAAGGAGGTCACCAAATTAGGAAGCAAGATCATGGTGGGCTTTTGCCATAAATGTTGGTGATGCAGCATTGCTGCTAGCAATCAGGAAGCCTCAACCCAAATCAAGTGTTCTCCACTTAAAACAGAGATGAGGCAAAATCTTTTCTGTGAAGGTTGACAATCTTTGAAACGCTGTTCCTGAAAAGGCAGTGGAACTAGAGTCCTTTTAAAAGTTGTAAGGCACAAGTGCTAGGCAAGGTTATTCAGTAAAGTTACTATAGTCTTACCAGACCATGGGGCTTCTCTCTCAATAGAGAGAGAGAGAGAGAGAGAGAGAGAGATGCATGATGGTGGTTTAATCTGAGGTGAGGGGAGAGGAAGTCTGAGGAAGATAGTCCTCCAAGGTAACCTCAGTCAGTGTGGGAATTGAACCCATGCTGTTGGCATTACTCTGCATTGTAAACCAGCCCAATCAGCTAAGCAACTCTTTTTGTAATAGATTATCAGGGATAGGTGGGAATGTAGATTTGACGTTACAATCAGATCAACTGTGACCTTATTGAATGATAGAGCAAAGTTGAGGGGCCAAATTGTCTATTCCTGCTCCTTGTTAGAATTTAACACAGCATTCACCTTCTTCCAAAGATAAATACTTATCCCAAACAGATGATTCATGGTTATGCAGGGGCATGTTTTGTGAATTTGGTAATTATATGAGCAGATAAAATAGAGTTTACAAGGCTAACATTTCAATACAATTTGAAGTTTGACATTTCGCCTGATCGGGTGACGTTTACCCATCTGGAGAGGTACTTGCTCATGCTGGTTTCTGTCACTAAACATCACCACACAGTCGTTATCAGAGTGTTCTTCCTCACTCTCTTTGTGCATGATAGGTGTGTTGTATATTGGTCTGAGCTAGCTTCTATTCCTTTGCAGTGCAGCACCTTGTCTGTTCTGGGCTAGTTACATATCTCTGAAACTTTTTCTGGTATCCAAGCATTTGTATCCTTATTTCTAACTCGCTTTCTCCCCAAAGCTCAATTTTTGTTGCTGTCTACCTGGTTGCTTCTCAAGTATCTGTTACATTCTCCTTTTTGTCCTGGGATCGATAAGACAGTTCCTGGGTACGGTTGTTCGCACTTGCCTTCCAAGTATCTGTTTGATAATGGTAATCCCAGTGCTGTTGATTGAAAAGGCAGCAATACCGTGCAAACGCGTTGCTTTGTTGCTGGACACTTGATGATCATTGATTGCATAGTACATACTATATATTCTGCTCGTGTTTGAGTGTGGTCGACAATGTGATATGAGTCATTCCCCACTTAATACACATGTCTGAAACAGTTTACCAGTGTGAGTGCAGTCCATTTTTGGATATTGTCTGATCTAGAACACCGAACATAGCTGATAATAGTGCTGATTGTGTCAACAACAGTCACAATCGTTGTGTTGCTAATTTGATGAATAGTGGGAAATTTAGAGAAACAAACCCATGGTCTTCACATGTACTGCGAATAGGTTTACAGCTACTGGCATCGAAGAATATCCTGCAGCCGCAGACGTTTCCTTCATTGTCAAGGTTGGTATGTTTAATATGCCGCACCTACATTCAAAAGTGATTGCATATCCAGACTCTTCCATGGCCAGAGCACACATGGCAGCTAGCACATTAATCTATGTTCAATGCCATGTGCCCCTGGTGTTACAGGAACATGATGCCCTATCTGCCTTTCATAGGGACTGCTCTCTCTGCGACTCCCTCGTCTGTTCCACATTCCCCACTAGCCCACCACCCCTGACGCCTTTCCCTGCAACCACAGGAAGTGCAACACCTGCCCCAACACCTGCCCCTACACCTCCCCCCTCACCTCCATACAAGGCACCAAATAAACCTTCCACATCAGACAGAGGTTCACCTGCACATCCGTCAATGTGGTTTATTGCATCCGCTGCTCCCGATGTGGCTTCCTCTATATGTTGTTGAGACCAATCGGAGGCTCGGAGACCACTTTGTACAGCACGTGCGCTCTGTTCGCGACAAATGACAACATCTTCCGGTTGCGAATCTTTTCCACTCCCCCTCCCACTCCCTGGGTGACATGTCCATCCTGGGCCTCCTTCAGTGATGCCATCTGCAAACTGGAGGAGCAGCACCTCATATTGCACCTTGGGAGCCTACAGCCCAGTGGCCTAAATGTGGATTTTACCAGTTTCAAAATCTCCCCACCCCCGGCCTCATCTCATGACCAACCCTCCCTCTCATCCCACCTCCTTGAACTGATACAATCTGTCCATCTTCTCTCCCACTTATCTGCACCTCCCACCTTACTGACCAATCCCCACAACTGCCTACTTACACTCACCTATCACCATCCCACCTACCTTCCCCAGCCCCACCCCTCTTCTCTCTCTTTATTTCTGAGCTCCCTTCCCTACCCCCACATTTCTGAAGGAGGGTCCTGACCCAAAATGTCAACTTTCCTGTTCCTCTGATGCTGCCTGGCCTTCTGTGTTCCTCCAGCTCCACACTGTTACCACACTTGGTTTTATGACTTGTTTGCTTTTAAGAATTACTTGTAGTGATATAATAAGTGAATGTCTGCATGGCAAAAATGAATGTATCCTCTCGGGTATTTCTTTAGTATCGCCAGGCCATCCCTGGATAATGATCTTCTGTAACTCTTATAGTTGCTTATCTTTGGCAGTTGTCAATTGCAGCTGTTCATGCTGGCCCTGGGCAAAGTACAACAGATCAGTTTTCAGAATATCTTCAGCTTTGTAGTATAGGGCATCGATGTGTACATCAAGAGGGGGATTTTGTCCTTTGTCTGGGTTGCCTACTCTGCTTAGTGTGTCAGACGTAATTGTCCTGATACCTGCTTTACATCTCACTTCAAAATGTTTACTTGCAAATTGTTGACTGCTTTGATTGCTTTGTCTGTGGTCCATCCCACCATAGTGGGTGTGGATTTGAATCTCATGAACTGTGACCATACCAAGATCTGTGCATACTTGTAGTCCTGCTGACTCTTGGCATCTGCTAAGTAGAAGATTTTGAACTGAGGTTGTGTATTGGTGGTGCGGTTCTGCCAGTGCACAGAATTGGTGATCTGATCTGATCTGATCCACTGAGATGGTCTCTTGCAGGTTGTACTATGAAACAGCATTGCTGAGATATGTGCCGTTCAGGATGTGTAGTTCTAAAATATTGACATAAGCTCCTGTGTTGATTTTACCTTGTAGTGTGTATCGTCCTGCCTTTTCATGACACCTGATAGCAATGGGTGTTAAAGCTTCTTATTGCCTTATGCCATCAACATGAGATTAACAATATAGAAAGCTTGATCATGTTCTGAAATTTGTCTTTCGCTTGGTTGACTCTGAACATCATTGATGTTTTGCATCTGAGCACTTTACACTCTTCTTGCTGCCACTGTGCGGTGGTGTACTGGCACTCTGATCACATCTTTTGTTCTGGAGTCTGACTTGGCTTTTAGACTGAGATTTATTCCACATGCCTGCCCAGTGTCCCTTGCTGTCATGTGCTTTGCAGGTCTTCACAGGAATTATTTCAGTGCTTTCAGCCTATTGTGCCTGAACTTGCTGTATTATCTGGTGCCAATCTTCAGCCTTTTCTCCATGTCCTTGTACACCATTACTATCCAAAAACACATCCAATGATCCCTTGAATGCCTTAGTCGAATGTGCTTCCACAACATTTTCAGGCAGTGCATTCCATATCCTAGCAACTTGTTATGTGAAGAAGTTTTTTCATCTTTGCTTAGTTCGCACATCATTTTAAATCTGTACAATCTCTTGTTTCTTTTCCGAACAGAAACAACTTCACTCGATCTGCTCTGACCACACAGCTCATGAATTTGAAAATCTCAATCAGATCATCTCTCAGCTTTATTCTTTCCAGGGAGAGCACCCCAATTTCTTCAATCTGTCCTCAAAACCAAATTTTCTCATACCTGGAACCATTGTAGTAAATCATTTCTGCAGTGTTCCAATGCATTCACTTCTTTCCTATAATGTAGCATCCACAACTGTACATGATACACCAGCTGAAGTCTAACAAGTGTCTTTTGAGTTGAAAATCACCCCTTTGCTTAAGAAAAGACTGTGGATGCTGGAAATCAGAAACAAAAACAAATTGCTGGAAAAACTCAGCAATTCTGGCAGCATCTGTGGTGAGAGAGCAGAATTAACAGTTCCAGTGACCCTTCTTCAGAACTTAACTGCCACAGTTGCTGCCAGACCAGCAGACATTTCCCAGCAATTTCTGTTGTTGTTTCTCAACACTTCTTTGCTCTTATACTCTATACTCCTAAAATAGATCCTGTGCCTTATTTACTGCTCTCTCCATCTGTTCTGCCACCTTCAATGATCCGTGCACATGTACACCCAGGACTGTCTGCTTCTGTACCACCTTTAGAATTGTAACCCCAATTTTATACCTTGACAAGCTGACAAGCCAGGACAGTTTAAATAGAAATCTTCAAAAAAAGCTTTTCAATCGATATCAGAAGCTGCATCTATTAGAGAACTGTGTCAGAGATAGTAGGAACTGCAGATGCTGGAGAATCTGAGATAACAACGTGTAGAGCTAGATGAACACACCAGGCCAAGCAGCATCAGAGGAGCAGGAAAATTTCTGAAGAAGGGTCTAGGCCCAAAACGTCAGCTTTCCTGCTCCTCTGATGCTGCTTGGCCTGCCGTGTTCATCCAGCTCCACACCTTGTTATCTCTATTAGAGAATTGGCTGGTTTGGTGTGATTTTCTGATCATAGCAGTGGTGTTGGCTGCACCTAAAACATGCAATTGCTATTGGCCTACCCCTGTGGCTTTGTACTTGTGCCAATCCTCAAGTAATGTGTCAATGGTATGACCATTTTTCTTGCCCAAAATATCCTTCCTAAAGGCTTTAATTAGCTGTTATCCCAGCTGATGGTAATACTGGACAAGTGAGATCCTAGAATGAAACCTGACTTGCTGGATCATATATATTCTTTTTCCACTAGGTTAATCTGGTGGTTAGTCACTGTAATATATTCACAGGAGGTTTCAGATGTTCTTGAACTTAAATTCTGTTGTTAATTACACAAACAAAGAAATAAAAAAACAACATTTTATACATATAGAAGAAGGAAGCATAGAAAAAAAGCTTGTCTGTTTCCCAACATCATCTGTTGTAGAGAGAGAATCCCTAAGAAATATCACTCCTAACTTGACTTTTTTATATCAGTATTTAATTGATGCAGTCGTGTTTCCTTCTCTTGAACTGCTGATTCCATTTTTTTCTGATTTCTTTCCATGTTCCTTGGCATTAACCTTATAACTCTGCCCTTCAAAACTTTTGCAGTACTAATAATTTGAAGATTTCTATTGAAACTGACCTGGCTAGTCAGCTTCATGTACTAAAGATCACTTCTTCTGAGGTGACTGGTTCCCTTAACTGACTTAATTCCTCTGACAGGAGAAAGCATTCTACTTTTGAACTGAACTTTGTTTTTCTGAACTAAAGATTTGAATTTTCTGTTCTGCAGTCAAAACTAAACTAATTGCCTTAATGTTTACTCTGGCTGTCATAAGCCCAACTGGATACAAACATTTGATCCATTGACACTGCACTCAACCGCAAACACATGCTCCCTTGGAACTGATGTATTTACGACCCTGTCCCAAATTGAACCTAAAGAAAAGATGTCAGAGAATATCCATCTGTCTCTGTTTTGAAATGCAAATTCAGGGATATAATACATCTTTTATCACAAGGTGATGACTTGTTCAGTGAACCTCTCTGAAATTCTGTTCCCCTTCAGAAAAGTCACACTCATGACTTTTACGATGGCGTCAACTTTGCCAACATCTTGCTGGTTGTTGCAGATTCTTCTGAACCTTTAATTCAAAAAAAGAGCTGTACCAGACTCAAAATATTAACTCTGTTTCTCTCTCCACAGATGCTGCCAGACCTGTTGAGTTTTCTCCAGAATTCTGTTTGTGAGATGACTTGAAATCTGTTGATCATGAAATGAATCTTACTTTGGCTGGTCTTCAAGAACCTTCCAATTCAGATTTTTTTCTGCATCTTTCTGATCATCTGTATAAAAACTGGATGTGTTAACACTGTGATAACAAGG